AAGGTATGGGGGGAGGGTGGTGTGTGTGTGTGTGTGTGTGTGTGTGTGTGTGCGCGTGTGAATAACTTTTTTTTAAACTGAAAATTAATTAACCTGAAGGCTGAAACACAAATCCTGTCAATCTGGAGGGGGTTATAGAGAGACGGGGTTTGTTCTTCTGAGTATGAGACACTGCAGTATAAGGCAATGCCTGCTGTGTGATGTTTTTCGTTACAGTTAGCCAAACCGTGTGTATTTTATTTGTCATCCTGAAACCCAGGAAAGCTTTGTGACTGCAGAAGGATGGGATCGTGGAGGAGTGGGGGGGAGGCGGGTTTGATATTCATTCTCCTGGTCCTCTCTTCACCAAAAAAATGCACCAGGTGGTTTCCAGGTGCAGTGCTTGAGGAGAGAGATACTAGGAAATTCCAGGTTTCTGATGGCTCTATGAACAGCTTTCCACATACCTTCTGAAGGCTGGGGAGCTTAGACGTTCACTGTTAGCTGACTAGTTTAATTTAATAGGGGAAAAGCAGTGTCTGCAGAAAACAACATTCTCGGAGGGTTCATCCAGCCAGCTAAATTCCCAGCTGCACCTGAACAAGGGAGGAGCCCACCTGATCTCTGGGCTGAATAGAACAGGTACGCTTTCTATAAAGAAATAGCGCAAATTCCCTGTTTGATTGTTTTCTTGCACTCCCTTGCTGTCTGTCAATATCCATCTCTTGTTTGTTGTCTTATTCTTAGATTGTGCGCTGTTTGGGGGAGGAGGGAGAGGCCATCTTTTTGTTCAGTTTGTACAGCACCTAGCGCAAAGGGTCCTCGTCCATGATTGGGCTCTTAAGTACTTTGGCAGTACAAACAAATAATAAATTGTGTCAAGTGGAAATGGATTTTGAGGCCTCTAAACTATGCTAGCATTGTATAAAAATGAAACACCAAGGACGTGATTCAGATCAAGTGTATGTGAAGGTATAACCACCTTAAGTCAGAAGTTTGAGCTAAGGGTGTGTCTTTGCACCTGATTTACTCCAGGGTGGGAAACATGTTCTGAGCACAGGAACTGTTAACCTTCCAGCCACTCAGCAGCCCCTGTCTGTTTTTCCAGGCTTTCAAGAAGAGAGCAGTTTAGGAGGGGTGGGTTAAATGAAGCTGGTTAGGAAGGTGCCACTGACAACCTGGCCAGCGGGTGGCTGAAGGCCTGGCTAGAACAACACGAATGACATGTTGTGATTGGCGCTCTCTCTGTGAGGGCTGATGGACTGATCGATCAAGGTTAGGAAGGAGAGGCTGAGGGGTATTCATATTTTGATGATGGTATTTTACTTGAAATGTATGTGTGTCCATGGGGTTCAGGGTGCAATCCAGACCAGTGAGAGGTTGTCACCCCTTACCCGGTAACCCTGAGGGCCTCACGGTGCCTTGGTACAGTAGTTCCCAGCCTGGGACGCTCACAGTCACCAACAAGCATGCAGCTCACACACTGAGTGTCTATGTGCTATGCTATAGTTCAGCAACTCAGACCCTAGCAGCCTGTCTACAGCCCCACTCTCACTTCTACCAATCTTAGTTACAACCAGCAAGATACTCCAACACACTCCCAGTCCCTGATTGTCCCAAAACTGTGTGTTCTGCAATGTCCAGGCCTCTGCTGGACAGTTCAGAGGAATAATAAGGTTAGCTTGTTCCTTAAAGAGACAAATGCAGATCACAACTTATTAACTTAACTGCGGTAAATACACCCTTTCCTTCAAACACAGCACTGAGTTGGTTTATAGTAAAAATAAAACAAATTTATGGAGATAGTAAGTGGTGCCAACTAAAAGGAATAAAAGTAGAGATGGTTACAAGCAAGTAAAAGTGAAAACACACCTCTAAAAGTCTAAAACTTAATCTTGCGAGGTACAGACTTTGTTCAAGATGGTTTCTCTCAACAATCTTCCTTCTCAGTCATGGCTGACTTTCCCTCAGACAGGACTTTCCACAGAAGTACAAGGTGCTGGCTTCCCTTGTCTTCCTAGGTGAAAGATCATTTCCAAAGCAGATTTCTCACCTATATTCAGTTTTCAGAGACTTCAAACCCCCTCCCCCCTTGGTTGAAGGTCTCATCTTTCTCAGCTTGCAAGAGCTTTGTTCCCTTGTGTCTGTCTAGTGATGGGTACCAAAGATGG